CGACCGAGGAAGGAGGGTGGCGGACAGAAGACCACACGGCCAAAAGTATGAGAGGGAACAAGGGCGTGACTCCCTCCGATCGTCGCGACGGTAGGTTGAAGGGCTTCGGGCTCACTATCGGCTTCTGGAGGGAGGTCCATGTCGCGCCGCGGCCGCGGCCGCCGTGCGCTCTGCTGTGCCCGGCTCCAATCCTCATGATGATGCCACCGCAGAGTTTGGGCCCCGGAGTTCTTTTCTCTGTCTGTCTGTCTGTCTCTCTCTCTCTCTCTCTCTCTCTCTCTCTCTCTCTGTGTGTGTGTGTGTGTGTGTGTGTGTGTGTGTGTGTGTGTGTGTGTCTGTCCCCTCTCGTTGATTGCACAAACACAACAATCTCTCTCTCTCTCTCTTGATTGCATTGTGCTCTTACTGTACAATACCTCAAAGGCCACGCGCTGGCCACGCGGCGTATTTGCAAACCCGAGTCAGGCTCCTACTGGTGTGCTCACACCACTACATACACTGTGGGACTGTGGGGGGTGCCCGAGCATGATGTATGTATGTATGAGAGAGATTTTTATTAATTAACCAACAAGAAATCACGACTCGCACAGTGATTTGGGCTCGGCAGCTTGTTAGCCCTCAGCCGAAGCTGGGGCCGGTCCCGTAGCCGAGAGAGCCCGCGCCGATGAGTTCGACGCGGTCCGTCGGGGGGGCCTGCGGAGAGGCCAGCGAGGTGGCGATCGCTGTACTTCATGGTGCCCTCGGTGGGGCGGCTGACAAGCCATCTTCTATGTATGTGCGCGTCTGTGCGTGTGTGGGACAGACGTTGTTGTCCTATGCGCGGGGCCTTCCCGCGGGGACCGAAGACGTAACAGCAGCAGTCAGGTTCCAGTCAATCGTCGTCAGTACTGCTACGCATATGCACGGAGGCCCATATGCATACGCATCACATTACGCCCTCTCGGGAATACGTAAACTCGGTGCGTGTACGTCACTTGCCAGTCCAAATGCGTCGCATTACGCAGCCCGTCGAACGCCTCCCCCTTCAAAAATAAATAGAAAACGTCAATACATACACGTAATCATCGCGTGCGTGACGGTGCGATGGCCCTGTGGTTGCCTCATCCGTACCACGTGTCACGTATACGGATTATGGATCTCCGCCGGTGCGCCGCGGCCCACGGAGGGCGGGGCGTCTTCGACGTATCACGTATCCGCATTACGCATACGTCCTTTTCACCGCAAAGCTTTGCCCCGGGGACGGTGCAATGGCCCGCGCGGCGGGTGCCTTACGTACCACGTCTCACGTTTACGGATTATGTATCTCGCCCCGCGCGCGCCCCCAAGCCTCCCCCCCCCCTTACGTATCACGCATACGCATTACGCATTACGTATTTTTCTTTTTGTGCTCGCCAAAACAGATGATTGCCTGGCAAATGTTCAGGCCACTCGCAGCCTTGTTTTAAAATCCAATACGAATCCCAATTGTCAAACTTGCGAATCTACGTGCGTTGCATGATGGCCCCGCCGCGGACCGCGTCGTCAGAGGGCGTTGTGCTGATCCCAGCCATCGCCAAGAACAGCACGACTGGCTACAAGGGCGTGTCCTTCGACCGCAGCAAAAACCGGTTCGTGGCGCGGGCGAGGGATGGTGGCAAGGATGTCTCCCTCGGCCACTTCGACACCGCCGAAGAGGCGGCCACCGCCTACGCTCGCTCAGAGTACGGCCACGCCGACGCCGCCAAGCTGCTGCAGCCCCGCGCTGCTCCCACTGCCGATGGCCTCGAGGCGATAC